AGAGTGTCCACATCAGCAAAAAAATTAATTAAATCAAAATTAATAATTCAATTAATACATACACTTTCATAATATCACTGAAAGATTTATTATTCAACCAAAAATATAAAATGTATTAAACAAAAAAGAAATGATTAACAAAAATATAAAAGACAAAATTAAATAAAGATTGCTTGAACTTAATATTTAAAATATTAAAAGTTAATTTTAAACAGGAAATGCAAGTGATTTGTTTTAAAAGAAAAAAATATACTGAAAATTTAAAATTTATAATAATATATACTATGTAAAAAGATAGTGTATGTAATAAAATTTCATGTAAAATGTTTAACTGTTGAAAGCTAACAGTTAAATTTAAGTAATAAAAATAAGTTATATATAAAACTAAATTATTGGTTTTGATGTTAAAAAAAACTAAAGTATTGACTATTTCTAACATGTAAACAAAAACATCACTCGAAATTTTTTTGTTTGTATAAAAAATTAATAAATAAACATCAATATCATATATACAGAACAACACATAAAGGAAAAACGTTAAGAGCACAGTTTGTAAAATATATAAATGATAATGAACAACCAAAAATATATGAAAACACCCCGCGCTTGCGCGGGTGTACAATTCCTAGTTTATACTAAATACCGGAACCTGAATCATCACTGAAATTTTTGAATGAAAATCTAAAAATCTAGATCTGAATCGACTTGAAAATTCATTCCTTGTCTATATTGGTATAAACCCTATAGATCTGATAAACCCGGACCCGGTCAGTCTAAGTTGTAACATAATCTTGATTCATACATCCGGAATCTCATCCATAATTATTATGACGACTATGTCTAAAAAATAAAAATTATCTAAAGTTAATTTTGGTTACAACATATATGTTTAGAGTTTATTTGCCCATTATATATTTGAAATATTTTTCTAATATTTGCTAGACTATATGTTTCTCTTATTCTTAATTTTCCCATATCACATGACTTAGTCCAATAATAATTAACATATAATTCATAAAACAGCATGCATGAATTCATTATATTAATTTATGTGAGTCTTAATATTATAAACAAATATATCAGTTAATAAATCTTAGTTTTGAATTATTAAGTTTGTAAGTATATTTATAATGATATATATATATATATAATATTGATTGCAAAGAGTATATAAAAGTTTCGAAAACGAAAAATGAATATTTACAGTCTTTTTAGATATTAATATTGTCATGTTAACTATTTATTTAAACATAATCTACACAGAAAATTATTTGCAGAAAATAAAGAAATAAATAAAATTATTGGATATACCTTAAACTAAAGAGAATATGTAATTATAGGTTAATTTTCAAATCTGGAAATGAATAAGAAATTTAAAAACCTAACATTTATTATTAAATTTAGATTTAATAAAAAAATATTACAAGAGAAAATTTTTAGCTCATATACATGTACAATTGTACATGTGATTTTGTAAATTTATTTGTAATACTAAATAGTTAGAATTTAATATTATAAGTAATTAAGAGAGAGAGAAAATAATAAATAAACCTGTATTTGTTCGGAGTATTTTACTCCCTTAAATGCAGGCCAATGTTTTTGAACTGATTTCTGATATGGATACATATCAAAATATTTCTCCTGCATTTTTTTTCGTTTGTATTAAAACTGTTATTGTGTGTTAAATACAGATCAATAAATCTGTATTTAATCTGTATCTGCATTTATTCTGTATTTAATCTATGTCTCCATTCAGACCTTGTGATTATGTGTTAGATACAAATCAATCTGTATTTGATCTGTCCTGTATTTATTCTGTAATAGATCTGGACTTCCATTCAAGGCCATAATGCTTCTTGCCTTCTTCCCCTTCAATTCTCCTATGCCAATATAAAAACCTTCACCCAGATCCCGTTTGACTCATCTCTTTGTTTTTAACTCCAAAAAACTTTACTCCCTCAGCAGCCTCTCCTCGACAGCCCTCGGCATGGTTCACGGTTACCCATTGGTAACCTCCGCTACTCTCCTCTGTCAATTTCGAAGGTTTACTATTAAGTCCCAGCCGAAGTTCAAAATCAAGCATTAAATCGGTGGCTGATGATCAAATCGACGATATTGGGGAGCTCAAATTGATGGAGTTTTCTCACATCTATGACGCCCATCAAAAACTACAGTTCCCACCTATCATGTAAAAATACGTAAGAGAACAAATAAAACACCAACGTATGTTGTCATCAAAAACAGCTTCTTTCAAACTTTTAAATTCAGTCTTGTAGTGTCTAGACCTCTGTTATCACCTTTCCTCACGGTCGAATCCTCTTGGACCTTTGCTGTTCTCTGTATCTCTAATTTTAATTGCTCGATTTCTATCAACTTTGAAGCATGACTGCAAAATTTTGTTCTCTCTTGGAGTGTTGACAAGTTGTTTGATGTAATGCTTCCAAGTTCTCATGCATTTGCTCAATTCAATTTCTGGATAGTGTCAACGCTCCGTTTGCTTGTGAAAACATGATTTTTCATAGATTCAAACCTCTTATCCCTGCTCATATCATTGCAGCATAGTAAATATGTCAATCCAAATCCTAGAGAGATTGGGTCTTAAAAGAATACAAGAAAAGCTTCAAGTCAAAACAAGATAAGGTTTTTAAGAAATCCAAAACTCAACAGTAAAATAACGAACTAGAACAGTAAATTAACGGTCCAAAACTAGAATCAAAGACAAAGATTTGAACTTTGAGCTAAAAGATTGGAACTTGATAAGATAAAATGAAGAAAGGCGACTCCTTTAGGTGGATGCGTTGAAAATCGAGCTAAAGGAGGAGACTTTGAGCTTAGAGAATAAGACCGAGCTTCTAGGCTAAGGAAAACAAGAGGAAAGCTCATCACTATCGTGAATGAAGCTTAAATGCAAGGTCTAGGCTCAAGAACTGACTATCGTCAGTGAACCCAGACTCGAGCAAGCTTAAAGCTTAGATCCCAACCCCAAAGAACTCCCTAAACAATCGCTATCGCGAGCTAGGAAAGCAAATCCCTTGACTTAGATTATCTAGCACTCAAACACACTTTTGCTGTGTAGAGAGCTTGAGATCTGAGTCAAGATGATCAGAAAAGACTCAGCCTTAAGGGCACTAAGCAAGGAGAAGCTCCAAAAGGTCCCAGCTTTAAACACAAAGCTCTCCTTTAAAACTCTCAAAACCGCAACACCTAAAGCAATCTAAAAGACTACTCACTCATCCTTTTAACAAACCGATTCCCATAGAGGAAAGGTTGTTAAACAAGCAAGCAAGATGAGATACAAGAGAGTAAACAAGTACGTGATTTTATTAAAGAGAAAGAGATGAAACCTTACAAAGTCTAAGATCTCAAACTAGAGTATTTTTGGTGGCAAAATGAAAGACAAATTACAAGATGCCTAAAAATTTAGGACTTAAAAGTTTATATAGTGGAGACTCTAAAACCCTTCTTCTTTCCTTTCCCCAAGATTTAAGCTCCAAAACTCGTGTTTCACTTTGGCTTGGTCTATCTTGACTAAAGTCAACTCTTTCTTGGTCAAGGAAAGCTTACAAGGCGAGAATCGGGTTTCCTGATCCTGATTGGCATCCTGGCTGCGAGCTCTTTCAACGTCCCCAACACTCCATATTCCCAATTGGCCCAAAGCTCCCAAAAGTACATGATTTAGACTCAAAATGCAATGTATATGCAATGCATGTCCCAAAGAGGATGCAAATATATAGATGGAGATATTAAGACTTATATGTATGCAAATGAGACTTTGATAATGTAAATATGCATGTAAAAGTATACTAAAATGGTTTAATATATGGCTATATCAACACCCCCAAACTTGAATCTTGCTTGCCCTCAAGCGAGAAGAACAAGTCTGAGGGTGCTGGAAAGATGTGAAGAAACGGATTTGGTTCTGAATTGGGAGAAGTGCAACTTTATGGTGAAAGAGGACTATACCCTACACAAATTAGATAAACAAGAGGAAAAAGAAGAGCCATAGACCGAGAAGTCGTCCATGAAGACCTCAACCATTTCCTCTATTAAATCCGAAAAAATTGAAAGCATGGCTCTTTGAAACGTTGCTGGGGCATTACATAATCCAAACGGCATTCTTCGATAGGCGAAGGTGCCGTATGGACATGTAAATGTGGTCTTTTCCTGGTCGTTTGGATGGATTGGAACCTGGAAAAAACCACTGTAGCCATCCAAGAAACAATAAAATGGATGGCATGCCAATCTCTCAAGCATTTGGTCGATGAATGGTAAAGGGAAATGATTTTCTTGATGCAGATTTAAGCTTACGATAGTCTATGCACATTCTATGTCCAACTATTGTCCTACTTGGGATCAATTCATTCTTTTCGTTCTTGATGACAGTAATCCCACCCTTTTTTGGGACACAATGTACTGGTGAAACCCAAGTACTGTCCGAAATAGGGTAGATGATTCCTGCATCAAGAAGCTTTAAGATTTCTTTCTTTACTACTTCTTTAAGATTGGGGTTTAACCTACGCTGATGTTCAATAGATCCCTTTGATTCATTTTTCAAGATGGATCCTGTGAGTGCATAGAGTAGGGGAGAGACCCTTGATATCGTCCAGCGAATATCCAAGAGCTCTCCTGTACTTTCGCAGCTCAACAAGGAGGGTTTCAAGCTCATGAGGGGTTAATGCATCATTGACAATGACGGATATGTGGAGTTAGAGCCTAAGAACGCATACCTGAGCCCCTTTGGGAGAGGTTTAAGATCGACCTTGGGAGCCTTTAAGCTCGGACCAGTCATCGTTTGTGCTCTGCTCTTGAGAGCTCTCCTCTCTCGGTTTAGACTCTAGAGCAAACAGGTTCTCAACCCGATTGTCATCCCGGATGCTCTCTGTTTCTGATGACCCAACTCCTCAAACCCATATCTTCTTTTACTGCTCTGTGTGAGTCCATAAGCCAAGCATAACCCATACTCTCTGCTTGTAGACACCCAAATGCCTCGTTATCCTTAGTCAGAGCCAGCTGCAGCTTATCCTCACACTCAATTCTTCCAAATAGTCATCGGCTAGCTGCTCAAGTGTTTCAATGTAAAATGACTCGCCATTGATGGTTGGTTGCTTCATAACGTCTTTTACATTGAACACCATCTTGCAGTCTTGACCCAAATTCAGCTCAATCTTGCCTCTTCTCACGTCTATTATAGCTCCAGCAGTGGCAAGGAAAGGTCTTCCCAAAATCAATGGGTCTTTGGGTTCTTCATCCATCTCTACTACCACAAAGTCAGTTGGAACTACGTTTCCCACCTTGAGTGGCATATCTTCAAGCATGCCTACTGGAAGCTTAACTGATCTATCAGCAAGGATCAAAGAGAAATGGCACTCCTTGTATTTCTCAAAACCCAAACGCCTTGCCACAGTCAAAGGCATGCTCACACTTGCTCCCAAATCACACAAACTCTTCTTGAAAGCTAATGGTCCTAGGAACAGGGAAGAGTGAAGCTTCCAGGATCTCCTAGCTTCTTGTTACTGCCTTGCTTTGAATTATAGCACTACACTCTTGAGATAAGACCACCATGCCTTGCACTTCTTTGGTTCTCTCCAAAATGGCATCTTTCAAAAATTTCTGATAAGGCTTGATCATCATGAGAGCGTCTATAAGGGATCTTCAGATTGATCTCAGACATTTGCTGATCAAAGACTTTCCTGCATTTTTCTGCCATTTGCTTCTTGAACCTTGTTGGAAAAGGCAAATTGGTTTGAAAGGTGGAGGAACAAAAAGAGTTTCCCTTCCTCTTCTTGTTGTTTTTGATGGCTCTGCTGCGCTCCTCTCTGCTTCACAGGCTCTGGTTCCACTGATTCTTTCTCAACACTATCTTCAGCTTCAATGTCGACTGACTCCTCCTCCTCTTGAATCGCAATGTCCTCATTGCTTCTTGTCGGTCCAACTCTCTCAGGAAGAACTTCCACTCTTAAGAGTAATTGCTTGCACATACTCTTTGGGGTTTGTAATTGCTTTTCCAGGAAGCATACCCTTTGAAGAAGATGGAATGTTGTGGCTCTTAGCTTCCAAGTGTTGAACTTTCGAGTTCAATGATTCCAACTTCTTGTTGAGATCATTGTAAGAGCAGTCTACTTTGTTGTTGATCTCGGCTAGCTTGGTGTTGAGCTCGGTAGCTCCACTGCTTGTCCTTTGATAAGTTGCTGAAGCATTGTCTTCATGTCAGATTCTTGACTGAGCTACTCCCTGCTTGAGTGTGTAGAGCCTTGATTTGATTCCAAAAACCTTTGGTGGTAACCTCGCTTGAAGTACACGGTTTGTTGTCCTCCTTGGTTTTGGTTTTGTTGAGGTGGATACACTTGATCTTGAGGATTCTCAACTTGGTGCTGCGATAGGAGAGGTTCGTGTTGTTGTTTGTGTTGATAACCCTTGTTGTAGCCTCCCTGGTTGCTCATGTAGCACACTTCCTCTGTTTGTGGATCCTCCTCCTCTTGGTTCACATCATCTTCACAAACAAAGTGAACTTGCTTTTGCTGTCCAGTCAAGATCTTGTCAAGCTTGTCATTCAGGGTCTTGAGCTCTTTCTTGTGCTTCATCTTGACTGAGCTTCCTCTGTCACTTCGGTCATACTCCTCAGGATATTTCCCATCACTAAGCGCAACTTCTCCACCGAGGATGAGACCTTCATCGACATCCTTTCCCATGAAGTGACCATTACTAGCTAAATCCAAATGCATCTTGTACTTAGGCTCCTCTGTACAATGTACTTAGTAGGTTCTCTTTGGAGAAGCCATGATGTGGACACTCATTTGATATCCCTTGAAACGCTCATATGCCTCAGAATGTTTCCCGTTAGTTGAGTGAAACTCGCAATGTCATTCCGCAACTGAGCTGTTCGTGAAGTCGGGAAGAATTTGGCCAAGAAATGCGTGCTTGCATTGCTCCCATGTCGTGACTGTTCCGGTTGGATTGATGATTCCCAAGCTAGAGCCTTTCCTCCCAAGGAGAATGGGAACAATCTCAGTTTGAGACCATCCTCAGTGACATTGTTGATCTTTTGCAAAGCACATTCGATCAAACGTTTCCTAGTGCTTCAGAGGATCTTCATCTTTCATCCCATGAAAGATTGAATTCTCGACCAAGTTTATCAAGCTCGTCTTGATGTCGAAGTTATTGTTGGGACCGGTGGTGGGGTAATGTCGGGGCGGTTTTCGCTGGAATGTGGTGTGTCGCCGGCTCGATTTGTCGCGCCGGACGTTGAGCATGAACCGGAATCCCTGGTGGTGGATTCACTCCCGGTGGAGGAGCTCCTCCGGCGTTAGCTGCCATTGTATCAGAATCAGAGTCGGGTTCTTGCAAATCTACCTCAGAAGTCGACTCTCGTTCAGCTCTGTTTCTTGCTCTGCGTTTCGCTTCTCACGCTCGGCTCGCTGAAGCTCGTGTGGACTTAACAAGTTCGAACTTCCACGAGAGCGTGTTTGCATACACCTGATTACAAAGCAGAGCAAATCCCAGGCAGATTAGATACAATAGACTATTAAAAATAAAACTTGAACTCGAAATTTTTCCAAATCGAAAAAGCCCAATCAAATCTCTAAGATTGGCAACGGCGCCAGTTTGAAAACATGATTTTTCACAGATTCAAACCCTCAATCCCTGCTCATATCATTGCAGTAGTAAGGTATCAATCCAAATCAAAGAGAGATTGGGGTCTTAAGAATGCAAGAAAAGCTCAAGTCAAGAACAAAGACTTGGTTTTTAAGAAATCCGAAAGTTTCAACAGTAAAATAACGAACTAGAACAGTAAATTAACGGTCCAAACTAGAATCGAAGACAAAGGTTTGAACTTTGAGCTAAAAGATTGGAACTTTATTAAAGGAAATGAAGAAAGGCGATGGCTTTAGGCGATTGCAGTTGAAAATCAAGCTAAAGGAAGAGACTTTTGGGCATAGAGACTAAGACCAAGCTTCTAGGCTAAGGAAAACAGAAGTAAAAACTCATCACTATCGTGAATGAGCTTGAATGTAAGGTCTAGGCTCAAGAACTTACTATCGTCAGTGAACACGGACTCAAACAAGCATTAAGCTTAGATCCCAACACCAAAGAACCCTCCTAAACAATCGCTATCGCGAGCTAGGAAAGTAAATCCCTTCGACTTAGATTATCTAGACTCTCAAACACACTTTTCTGTGTAGAGAGCTTGAGATCTGAGTCAAGATGATCAGAAAAGACCCAGCCTTAAGGGCACTAAGCGAGGAGAAGCTCTAAAAGGTCATAGCTTTAAACGCAAAGCTCCCCTTTAAACTCTCAAAACCACAACGCCTAAACAATCTAAGGACTACTCACTCATCCTGTTTAACAAACCGATTCCATAGAGGAAAGGTTTTTAAACAAGTAAGTAAGATGAAATGAACAAAGAAATGAACAAGTACGTGATTTAGATTAAAAGGGAAAGAGATCCAAGCTTACAAAGTCTAAGATCTCAAACGAGAGTATTTCTTTGTGGCAAAATGAAAGACAAATTACAAGGTGCCTATAAAATTTTAGGACTTTTAAGTTTATATAGTGGAGACTCTAAAACCCTTCTTCTTTCCGTCCCCAAGATTTAGCTTCAAAACTCGGCGTTTCACTTAGTCTTGATATGTCTTGACTAAAGTCAACTCCCTTCTTGGTCAAGGAAAGCTTACAAGGCGAGAATCGGGTTTCCTGATCCTGGTTGACATCCTGGTTGCTCTCTGCTTTGACGTCTCCAACACTCCATATCCCAATTGGCTCCAAAGCTCCCCAAAGTACCTGATTTAGACTCAAAATGCAATGTGTATGCAATGCAAGTGCCAAAAGAGGATGCACAAGTGTATAGATAGAGATATTAAGACTTAAATGTATGCAAATGAGACTTCAGATAATGTAAATATGCATGTAAAAGTATGCTAAAATGGGTTAATATATGGCTATATCAGTTGTTCTTCACTTTAAATTATTCACAACTATCTTTTGTAAATATATTTAGTATAAATATTTCTAATCTTAGGTTGAATGAATTTTCACTATCTGATACACCTAGCGAAACTAAAAACAAAAAAAATGTACATCTGAATAAATTTAAGCTAGCAAAAAGTTAATATTATAATATATAGATAAGTAATACTAATATTTAGCTTAGATTTCTAGGGGTATAAAATTTATTTGAAGAGAAGCTAATCAGCGCACATCGTTATTCATTATTTACTGCTTCACTCTTATTCCTAGGTTTTTTAATTTTTTTTCTTTTTTTTTTCTTTTTTTGGGGTAAAAATTTTCTTTTATTTATTCGTCTTCAATTTTTCCTACTTTGAATTCCTCTTTGTTCTTATTTGGTTTCTTATTTATCTTCACTCATCTTCGGTAATGCTCTTCTTCGTCTTCGCATTTCTTTGTTCCTCCTTTCTGTTCTTATTTGGCTTATGCTTTTCGTCGTCATCGCTGTTCTTTATTCCTTCTTTATGTTTTTTATTTGGTTTCATTTCCTTTTTCACTCTTGTTTCCATGTTTTTAATTTCTTTTATTTATTATCTTCAATTTCTCCTACTTTGATTTCTTCTTTGTTTTTTTTTTCTTTTTCACTCATCTATACTTATACTATTTTTTATTCCCCTTTGTGTTCTTTTTTTTGTTTCATGTATTTCATTCTTGTCTTAACAAAAATTTTAATTTTAAAAAAGTTCTTAGTATTAAATAAGCTTATGTATACTAATAATATTAGCTGTTTAAAATTTAATATAACTAATTTAAATTTTTTATTTTATTTTTGCTGTTATTAGAAAATATAATTTCTTTATTTTATAAATATTTAATTAATAAAAAATTTGAAAAGAAACACAATTAATTAATTTTGGTGATGATGTGGAATGATAATATTGGTTGATTAAAATCATATATACTTAATTTCCTTATCTCTTACATGTTTAAAAATTGTAAATTTTCTTAATCATGTAAATACTTAATTAATTAATTTTGGTGATGCTATGAAATAATAATTTTAGATAATGATGTGGAATGATACTATTGGTTGTTTAAAATTTGGAAAAATATTTAATTTTGGTGATGATTATTTGGACCAATAAAATCATATGATGATGTGGACTCATACTATTGGTTGTCTAAAATTTAGAAACTTTCTTAATTTTGAAGTTGATGATTATGTGAACCAATAAAATTGCGTCTTAAAATCTAATATTGACGCCCTTAATTAGGGGTGGGCACGGGGCAAGTACTTGCGACTTACCTTGCCCTTGTGAAAATATTTGAAATTTCGACTTGCGACTTGCCTTGCCTTGTTAAATACTTGCTCCTTCAAGTACTTGTTCATATTTTCATTACTTGCGGGTACTTGCCTTGCGTTGCAACTTATAAAAACACAAAAATAAAAGTAATTATTTCACAATTTTGGGCTATAGTTAGCTAAAGCCCATTAGTTTTTTCATATTTATAATGTAGGTTTTTAAAAACCCTTGTTGTTGGCAATTAATGACAATGGATCTCTTACTTACAAGAAAAATTTTTATTTTTTCATTATATGTGTAAAAAAATACAAAAAATTGTAAATATCAAATATTTGTACAAGGCGGGTAATGATTTTTTTTTTAAGATTTGATACTTGCCTTGTACTTGCAAGTAATTTATTAAAGCGACTTGTTACTTGCCTTGTACAAGGCAAGTACTTGGTTTGGCGGGGTACGGGGCAAATAATGGGTTTTGAGCAAGTATCAAGTACTTGTGCCCAGTCCTACTTAATAGCTTATAGCCATTGACTTCTAGGTTTTATAGCCGCGCGTAGCGGATCTGTATAAATGATTTTTTTTTTACTAAATTTTAGAAAGACTAATAAATTTACATACAGTTTTTACTATAAAATATTAAAAATATGATGTATCAATTTTTGTATGTATATATATATATCTGTTTATAAGATTGTTGGGTGAAATAAATTCACTAACCGGTCGCTCCTTACACTCTATTATAAGCTGGGAATATTGTCGACCGACGACCATGATGACCTGGTCGATCTTACCTCCTATTGTCTAAAAGGCCTTAACATCGACGTGATAAGGCAACGACCGACGATGTTTGTTAACGGTTTAGCAATGACCAATGGTTTTATACAATTTCCTAAACCTATTTGGAATTGTATAAAGGACCGACATGCACTTCTAAGGAAATTAGGAATGACGACCGACGTAGGAAATAGAAAGTTACGATCGACGTCAAAGCCCAACTCGATAAGGACTAGGACCGACGAACACCTATAAATAAGAGGTCTAGAACCAAGAGACTCATTCAGAAAAACACACAGAAACCCTAATAGCTACTTATTCTCTCTCCTTTCGACGAGCAAGCGACGAACAACCTAGATACGACGAACTGATCTACGACGAGCGACAGACGAGATTCTCTTAGTTTAATCTTTGATATTGACTTGTTGTAGCTCGATATTCAATTGATTAATAAGATATCTTCTCCTGCGTCATTCCGTTTATTGTACTTGCGAACCGGTTAAATTTTGCCCAAACAAAGATTTTATAAATATAATTAAATAAAACAATAATGAAGACAACTAACTTTTACTGAATTAAATAACTAATAAATTAAAATACAAATATGTTTTTCCACTACTTTTTGGCTATATACCATGTATGTAGAAATAAGAATAGAAGAACAACAAATAGGATTGAGTCATCACGAACAATGAAAAGATGCTTGTAGGGAAGTGACAATGATCATACTAGTTTTTTACTTCTCAATCTCATTAGATCTTCTACAACTTTTAGTCTATACCTCTCTTCACTCTTATCATTTAAATCAGTTTTGTTTATATTATGCTGTTAGATTATTATTTGAACATCTTTAGGACGATGTATAATCTTCATTCTCTTAATGTATCAAAATCAACAACGGATTCAAATGGAGCGGACAATCCTTCATGGATCTGTTTCATGTTATGGGTTCGATACTTGATTGTCTACACGTCGATGTTTATGTTAAACATGTGTTCTAAATCTATAATTTTCCTACTTCCAATTTTGAAAAGCCAGGTAACACATGGGTTATTAGAGATCAAGTGACTTGGTAATTTTGATGGTGTAGTTGATATACTCTCCAGTTTTCAATCATTATTAGTTGATTTTTCAAATTTGAGATTGTAGTTTCATAATGGACTATATTGGTAAGTACATAAACTATGTAACTTTGGTTTCTTGCTGTGTTACACTATACTTCTATATATCGTAAGGACTATTTATGTCTTTCTCTTACGCTCTTGATCATTGTATGGAACTTAAAATTTCCATCTGTTCAACTTGACGATAATAAACGGTTTATTATTAACCACAAAGCCAATTTGGTATTTACCTTGGGAGGAAATAGTAACCTTATAAAGCTTGTTTAATATCTTGAGAATATTAGTCTCCCGCCTAGGTTTCTCGAATAACTTTGTAAATATGATGATTATTATCTAAAAATGGTTTGTATAAAATTGGCCATACTTGCACCATTCTTTTACTAATTTCCACCATAGCATCTAGATAATAGAACTACCCTTTTTAAGTTTCCAAAAAAATTCCAACATGGTTAAATTAGTCCATTAAAACTTCATACTGAAATAGTAACTTTGTAAGTGAATAGGTCAAATTATTAATGCCAGATGAAAGATTACAATGCAAAAGAAAATTTTCAGAGTTGTGTGGATAGACCTTGTTAGTATCATATATATGCCAAAGGAAAGCTCACAAGATGGAAATTTCTCCTTAGCTGGTACGCTTGCGTCATTCTTATTCCTCTATAGACTATAGTTCCAAAAATATGACAGTGGCGGAAGCATTAAAAAAGGAAGATACTATAACATGTATACAATTCAAAATCAGAATACTCTTTAACAAAAAAAAAACAGAATCTCACAGAGACGTCATCAAAGAAAATGTAAATATAACTATTTTGAAATAGTATTTTTGAATTTGTATTTTTTTAATAAGAAAATGTAAATATAACTATTTTGAAATTTCATACGATATATTCTCTTCGTTTCAAATTAGTTGTCATTTTGACAAAATGTATTTGCAATTATTTAAATGTATCTGGATGTGTTTTGAATTTAATAAATCCAAATAATTGCATATTCATTTTGCCAAAGCGACAACTAATCTGAAACGGAGGGAGTATTTCTTACCTTGGTTAGGTTCTTATGTTGGTTTATAGTGTGGAAATTAAGCATTTTAATCTATTTTCAAAAAAGTTAAACAAAGTAAAGCGTTGATCGTAGCCTTAGATTAAATATGATAGACTTAGGCGAGATACATAAAACTCAAATAATTACAATATAATAAAAATTTACTATTCTTTAAGAAAAATTATATATCATGTAATTCATAAGATAAGAGCTATAGATGTATGCACACGTATTATAACTAAATGTTTTCTCTTTCATTCAAAACTTAAAAATGTTTTATTATAGTTTCAAAATAATTAGACCAATAATAAAACAATATGCAGAATCCAAATTGTCAAAACGACAAAAATATAATTAATTTTATATTAAAAATGAAACAGATAGAGCAATATTCAAAATTTTGATCAAAATAAAATATTTATAAGAAGAATTGTTTTATTTGATTTAATTATACAGTTTAATTAAAAATCCATATTAAATCGAAAAAAAAATCATTTTAGATTTGGATACCTATTCTCCAAGTGATCTACAGTATGAGTGACTTTTTGAATTCTGTTTAC